GTGGGTTAACAAGGTGAGTCAGAGCATTCTAGGAGTGGATATGATTTTTTTCTCGCCTCTCTTTCTTCTAATATTCAAAGGATAGCTTTCCACTAATCCACAAAGTACCCTTTTCCCCTTATCGTTATAATCATTGAGACCTCATTATCTGTAACCATGTAAAGGGTGTGGGTTCACGTGCAAACAAGCGAGCAATGGGCCCTCAAAGCACCTTAGGGGATGCCTTCCTCCAGGGCTCTGTCCCCATCCATCCCAGGAAGAGGCCACCCTGCCTGCCAGTCTTCACGGACTCCTTCGCGACACGCAGGAAAAGAAGCAGTCCCAGGCACCCAACTTCCGCACCTCTCTCCATAGATACGACTGGCCGTCCTACGCCTTTTGAAACGAACAAACAACGATGAAAGCTCCATCAGTTTTTTAACTTTGCAGCCATAGGGTCTGCAGATGGATGTTCCGCTGTTTAGAATTTTCTGGCCAAAGAATTTTCCAGACTTGACAGTGACTAGGAGGTGGATCTGGTGAAGTTTTAGTAAATTAATTTTTATGTTCTAGAAATAGTACAACTGGTGGGCTGATTATTAATTTGCTTGTATCTTTGAATTAGGTACTTTATTTATAGATTTTTACAAATGGAGAATAATCACACTGCCTCTGTGATGTTCCCCCCCTCCTGATATAAAGGTTTTAAATCATGTTCACGTGTTGTGCTGTGGTGTTGATTATCAGATTATGAAGCCTTATGTATTGCAATTGTCCAGCAATCTTTTTACAGTATTCATTTTTTTTGCCCCCAAACACTTCTTCCTTTTAGAAAGAGCTTATTTGTAGAAATAATAACAAATTGTACACACATTGTTGAAAATGTTGGATATTGATAAAGATGAAATATTTTATCAGGATTTGGTTTAAATGATTTTATTTTAAATCTAGACCATTAAACAATATTTTGGAAGGGAAATATTCATACTTTGTTTACACAGCTGTTTAAATTGCCCATGTCCATTGTTAAATGTGTTAAAAGTAAGAAAGCTCTTTTATGAAGAATTACTGTAACCATGCACATGGGCAGTAAGGCAATAATTTGCTTAAAAAAGAAAGAAAGAAAAGAACAAAAAACTGTGTATTTTTTTTTTAAAACATTAATATGAGAATTGGTAATGGAAATTTTTTCCAGCAGAATATTTTGCATACAATATGGTGATAATGCAGTAATTTGACTTTTTTTTTGTACTGTGAATAAAAATAAACAAGAATACTTTATTATTCTAGTCCATTGCTTTGAGTGGAGGATGTAGTGAGGAAATGAAGATTTAGGAAAAGGCATAAAAAAAAAGAAAGTTCTAGTGGCTAGTAGTCAAAAATGTTTTTTTTTCCGGAACTTCATTTTTGTATGTTTTGAAAAATAAATTGATACCTTCTTTTAATCTATTTTCTTTTGACACTTATTTCCATTCATTGGTAGAAATTTTAGAATATTGGATAAATTATTACAGAAAAATTTGGTATTGTGGTTGTAAAGATAAAAAAAAACACCCATGCATAAGGAAAAAGAACGAAAGAAAGAAAGAAGAAGAAGAAGAAGCAGAAGAAGAAGAAGAAGACGAAGAAGAGAAGAAGAAGAAGAAGAAGAAGAGAAGAAGAAGAGAAGAAAATTCCACAATTCACAAAATCGCAGAACCTTAAGAATTTTATGTTTATTCTTAATAAATACTTGAAGCATGTATATGAAAAATGGAGGATGGGTTTATTTCAATATTCTGTTTTATCCAATAAAATTATCCTGCATGAACCAAGGTGTGTGTGTGTGTGTATTGGAGTGTGTGTGTTTTGGATTGTGTGTGTGTGTTTTTGGAGTGTGTGGTGTGTGTGTGTGTGGTTGTGTGTGTGTGTGGTGTGTGTGTGTGTGTGTGTGTGTGTGTGTGTGTGTGTGTGTGTGTGGTGTTTGGTGTGTTGTGTGTGTGTGGTCGTGTGCGTTGAAGTGTATGTTGGAGTGTTGTGTATTGGAGTGTGTGTGTGTGGTTGGAGGATAGCGTTGTGTGTGTTTTGGGGGTGTGTGTGTGTGTGTGGTGTGTGTGTGTGTGTGTGTGTTGTGTGTGGTGTGTGTGTTTGTGTGTGTGTGTGTGTATGTGTGTGTATGTGTGGTATGGTGTGGTGTGTGTGTGTGTTTGTGTGTTGTGTGTGTGTGTGTGTTCCGTGTGTGTGTGTGTGTGTGTGTGTGTGTGTGTGTGAGTGTATGTTGGAATGTGTGTGTATTGGAGTGTGGTGTGTGTTGGAGTATGCGTGTGTATGGTTTGAGAGTGTGGTGTGTGTGTGTGGGTGTGTGTGGTGTGGTGTGTGTGTGTGTGTGTGGTGGTATGTGTATGTGTATGTGTATGTGTGTGGCTGTGTGTGTGTGTGTGTGTGTGGCTGTTTGTGTTTGTTTCTGTGTGTGTGTGTGTGTGTGTTGTTGAAAGTGTTGTTGGAAGGGTGTTTGTGTTGGAGTGTGTGTGGGTTGGGGTGTGTGTATATTGGAAGTTGTGTGTGTTGTGTGTGTGGTGTGTGTTGTGTGTGTGTGTGTGTGTGTGTGTTGTGTGTGTGTGTGTGTGTGTTGAAGTTTATGTTGGAGTGTGTGTATGTGTGTGTGTGTGTGTTGGTGGTGTGTGTTGTGTGTGTGTGTGTGTGTTGTGTTGGTGTGTGTAGGTTGTGTGTGTGTGGTGTGTGTGTTGACGTGGGTATGTTGGAGTGTGATATATGTGTTTGGAGTGTGTGTGTGTTGGGTGTGTGATATATTGGCGTGTGTGTTGTGTGTTGTGTGTGTGTGTGTGTGTGGTGTGTGTGTTGTGTGTGTGTTTGTGTGTGTGTGTCGTGTGTGTGTGTGTGTGTGTGTTGTGTGTGTGGTGTGTGTGTGTGTGTGTGGTGTGTGTGTGTGTGTGTGTGTGATCTGTTGAGGTCGTGTGCTTGTACGAGGTGTTTTGCGCGTGCATATATATACACATTCAATCTACCAATCTGACCTATCTATATACATTCCCCAATAGACATACATGCTACATATGTATTTTTTTCTTACATATGTTACGCATGGTCAGAAAGTTTTTCAGTTTGTTGGTCTATTGTAAAAAACAGCATTAGCAGGGTTTCAAGCATTACAGAATTCTGTCTACTTTTACATGCTACATATCAAAGCTTAAATAAAAGAAACAAGTGATATTGAACGATTGATTTGATGCATATTATTATAGGCGAGGAACTTCATAATAGTGCTATAACACATTGATTAGTTTTAGCATTAAGCGTTTTAATGTATATGTAACGTTTTGTCTTGGCTAAATTATTTCATAAATGGATTGGTAGGATGTTTTTTAGTTTTAGTTATTAATGTTATATGACCTTGATGTCTAGCACATTATTTGTTTTAACATTACCATACCATTTTTTTAGTTAATTGCGCTCCATTGTTACAATTGTCCTCTTCAAGCGTTAAATTAATGAATGACAGTATTTTTCAGTAATTACTTCACTCAGGCGTCCGATAGCTACATTCTCGTTTCTTCGGTAGATTTCTTGTATTTTCTCAGGCGTCCGGTTTCGAATGGTAACTCTGTCAGGAAAATGCAAACTTTCATTGGCCCAATTGCCGGGAAGTTCCAATACAGTACAGTCACCCAGCCATCGAACATTTCGCGGGTCTTGGGTCGCCTGCAGCTCTTCCTCTGGCTGGTGTTCACGACCCACCCGGCGAAGTCCGACGAAAAGCTTCCAAATGGCCTTTCTCTGAGGCCCGGGTGTCGGGGGGTGGGGGGGGGGGAATACTACGGGGACCGCTGTGGCCAAGGGATTCCTGGGCGTTCCGAAATCCTGCGTTCGGCGACCCGTCGTGGCTCTTCGGGGGGGAGGAGACGACTGTTCTGAGCACGCTGTAGCCGCCTGGGCCTCTCGTCTATGCCAGCAGGCCTCCATGGCACCTTCACTGACCAGGTCCCTCTTTTTTAGCATACACGGCCGAGTTCCCTCTTTGTAAACACTGCCGGAGTCCCCTCTTTCAACACGACCGAGTCCATCGTTGCAACACGACCGTGAGCCCATCTTTGCACACGGCCGGTCCCATCTCTGCAACAAGACCGAGTCCCATCTTTCCAACACGGCCCTCCTACTACAGCCTATCGTCCTCTTTTTCCAACACGTATAAATCCTCTTGTAACGGTTGGTCGAAGAAAATTCAGCATCGTCTGCCACGCTTGGAAAACACTTTGTTGCTGATCGTATTGTTGTGTTTATTCGCTGCACTGTAGAAAGACCCATATTCTTAAATACCTTTGTACTATAATAGTATTAAATAATTACGTGATGTATGCTCCTCTTATTGGAATTCCAGGTGGATTTCTATGTTAATATATCTGTCATGAAACAAAGGGTTGTTTTTATGTGTAATTATAATTAATATGTTTGTTACTTTTCATCAATGTTTCCGGAGTGCCTATATAATTAAAAACTTTTGTTTAGTGTGTCCACTTTGTTTATTTTCACACACATACACATGTATGCCGTGTCGGGGGTCAGTTTGTTTGTATAGCTGTGTATGCATGTATGTACGTGATTTTGCCTGTGCGTGTATGTGGCAAAATTTTCACATCGATAAAAAAAAGTAAGGAAATGCCTCCTTCCATAGTGATATTTACGTGCATTCCCGTTAAATTGTATGGTTAAGCCGCTGCAGCCTTTTATCAGCAAAACATTTATAGCAAAGAGAAAGCCCCTGTTTCACGCCCGATCCCCTGTAGTCTATCAGACAATGAGCCTTATGCAAGCAAAGCAAATGGCCCAAAAATGTTTACACTGTATCCGGTCGCTCGCTGTAGCTTTATCAGTGGATTTCCCAAGCCCCAGGATGGCGATGTGTTCAACTGAAGAGAACAGGAACTTTTACATGGCAGCAGCCTTTCATCATTACGTACTTCCATCACTTTCCATTAGAATTAAATTCAAGGACGAAATATTAAAAAAAAACTAAAAACGATAGG